TTTAATTTTTATCATGATCAAATTTTCACAAATTAAAAATACGAAATTCATAGGATGGGGGGGTGAGTTCGGTGGTTAAGAGTGCCAATAATCAAATGCATGATTTCAAGGACAGCCAGTGCTTTCAACTAGTGAAGCATCTCCCCACCTTCAGTGATATACTTAAATGTTCTAGGAACATAGACAATACATTAAAGAAGAAAATACTGATAGGTAAGTTATGCCAGAAAGTGGCAGCAATCTCAATGGCAGGCTCTTTGACCTTCTCACCTCCCAAGGGAGGAGCAATCCTGCTAGGCCACAGAGGAGGACTTTGCAGCCAGTCCTGAAGATACCTGATAAAACAGAGTCAGAAGAAAGGGGAGGAGGTCCTCCCCAAACAGTGGACTTGGAAAGAGGCAGGGAGGAGATGAGGGAAGGAGGGAGGGTTTGGGAGGGAATGAGGGTGTGGGATAGAACTGGGATACAGAGTTAATAAAATGTAACTAATAAAAAATAAAATAAAATAAAGCATATCTCACAAAAATCTCATATCCCAATGTACTTCACCATTTGTATGATAAAATGGATTTTTATTTTTATTAATTACAGTTTATTCACTTTGTATCCCCCCTGTACCTCCCTCCCTTCTCCCCTCCCAATCCCACCCTACCTCTTCCCCACCCCTCTCCCTCTCCCAGTCCACTGAAAAGGGAGGTCCTCTTCCCCTTCCCTCTGAACTTAGTTTATCAGGTCTCATCAGGAGTGGCTGCTTTGTCTACTTCTGTGGCCTGGTAGGGTTGCACCCCCCTCAGGGGGAGGTGATCAAAGAGCAGGCCAATCAGTTCCTGTCAGAGACAATCCCTGTCCCCATTACTATGGAGGCCACTTGTATATTGAACTGCCATAGGCTACCTCTGTGCAGGGGTTCCAGGCCATCTCTATGAGTGGTCTTTGGCTGCAGTATCAGTTTCAGAAAAGACCCCTGTGCCCAGACTTTTAGGATCTGTTGCTGTCCTTGTGAAGCTCCTGTCCTTTCCAGGTCTTACTATCTCCCACTTCTTTCATAAAGTTACTTGAACTCTGCTCAAAGTTCGGCTATGAGTCTCAACATCTGCCTCGATACCCTGAAGGGTAGAGTCTTTCAGAAGCCTTCTGTGGTAGGCTCCTGTCCTTTTACCTGTTTTCTCCCTCCTCCGATGTCCATCCTCTTTGCCTTTCTGAATGAGGATTAAGCATCTTAGCCAGAGTCCTCCTTCCTGATTAAGCTAACACATTTTTAAATAGGTATTTATCAAGGCTTACAAGCACATTAATTACCTCCCCTCACTATTGACAACCTTTACTTTATGCTTTTGTTCATATTTTTCTCTCTCTCTCACTCTCTCTGTGTGTGTCCCTCTTTCACTCTCTACTTCTACTCTGACTATAGTGGTCATTTTACTATTCTTTGAAAATATAAGCAAGTTTTCTACCTCATCATGTTTTTTAACAAGGCTAGTGGTTTTTTTGTTTGTTTGTTTTTTGTTTTTTTCTGAAATATACACAATTCTCTCTTTCATCCTAGGTCTCGTGAGAACTTGATTTCACATTATTAAAATCACAGCGTCATTTTTAAATTTTATCCCCATTTAATTCCCGATTTTTCTGTTATTATGATAAAGTACAAAAAAAATGTTGCCTATATATTTTGTGTATTCTCTTTTCCCATTAAAAAGTTACCTTCAGTTGTAGCACATGGCAGCTGAGTATCCAAGTGGGTTCCCTAGTAAGGAGAACAGGGACTGTTTCTGACATAAACTCAGTGACTGGATCTTTGATAACCCCCCTCCCCCAGGTAATAGCAATCTTGCCAAGCCACAGAGGAGGACAGTGCAGCCAGTCCTCATGAGACCTGATAAGGTAGGGTCAGATGGAAGTGGAAGAGGACCTCCTCTATCAGTAGACTTGGAGAAGGGCATGGGAGGAGATGAAAGAAGAAAGGTAGAATTGGGAGAAAATGAGGGAGGGTGCTATAACTGGGATACAAAGTGAATAAGCTGTTATTAATATAAAAAATAAAAAATTAATTAAAAAGTTATCTTAAAAAATTGAAATTCTACCTTTCTTTTTAAATTTTTTTTATGATTATTAATGTGTATTACAACTTTGTGTCCCAACTATGGCCTGCTTCCTCATCTCCTCCCCAGTCCTACCCTCCCTTCTTCTTCCTGCCCCTCCCCCACATGTCCCTCTGTAGTCCACTGATAGGAGGGGTATCCTTCCCCTACTATCTGACTCTAGCCTATCAGGTCTCATCTTGACTGTCTAGATCCTCTTTCTCTGTGGCCTACTAAGACCACCTCGTCAGAGGGAAGTGATCAAAGAGAAAGCAACTAAGTTCATTCCAGAGACTGCCCCTGCTCCCCTTACTAGGGTACCACTGTGGAAACTGAGCAGCCCAAGGGCTACATCTGAGTAAGGCGTCTATGTTCTCTCATTGCATGATCCTTGGTTGATTAATCAGCCTCTGCAGAAACTCCTGGGCACAGATATTTTTGTCTCTGTTGATTTTCTTGTAGAGCTCCTGTCCCCTCCAGGACTGTTCATTTTACCCTTCTTCCATGATATTCCCTGCACTCTGCCCAAAGTTTGACTATGAGTCTAACATCTGCTTTGATACCCTGCTAGGTAGAGTCTCTCAGAGCCCCTCTGTGGTAGCTTCATGTAGAAATTAAATACCAATAAATGAAGCTGTTCATATGCTATAGTTTGTAGGGGGCTAAGTCCAGTTCATGTGTGATCCTTGGTTGATGCTTCAGTCTCAGAAAGCTGGTCTGGGTCCTGGTTAGTTGGCCCTGTTGGTTTTCTTGTAGAGCTCCTGACACCTCAAGATACTTTTTACTTCCTTCCCACTAAAGCCAGAATAGCTAAAACAACCCTGTACAATAAAAGATCTGCTGGAGGTATCTCCAATACTGATCTTAAGCTGTACTGTAGAAAAATTTAAATAGATCCATATTCATCACCCTGCACAAAAATAAAGGCCAAGTGGATCAAAGACCTCAACATAAAACCAGACACACTAAATCTGTTAAAAGGAAAGAGTGAGGAAGAGCCTCAAACTCACTAACCCAGGAGACATGTTCCTGAACACAACACCAACAGCACAGGCTTAAAGATCAACAATTAATAAATGAGACCTCATGAAACTGAAAAGCTTCTGTAAAGCAAAGGATACTGTCATCAGAACAAAACAACTGCCTACAGACTGGGAATAGATCTTTACCAACCCTACATCTGACAGATAGCTAATATCCAGAATATATAAAAAACTAAAGACGTTCAACACCAACAAAGTAAACCAATTAAAAAGTGAGATACAGAGATAAACACAGAATTCTCATCAGAGGAATATCAAATGGCAGAGGAACATTCAAGAAATGCTCAACATTCTTATCATCAAGGAAATGCAAATCAAAATGACCCTGAGATTCTACCTGGTATCCATCAGAATGGTTAAGATCAAAACCTCAAGTTACAATACATGCTGGAGAGGATTCGGAGAAAGGGGAACCCTCCTCCATTGCTGGTGGGAATGTAAATTTGTACAAACACTTTGGAAAACAGTCTTGTGCTTTCTCAGAAAATTAGGAATAGTACTACCTCAAGATCCAGTTATACCACTCCTGGGCATATATCTGAAATATACTCCACAATACAACAAAGACATTTGCTCATCTATATTCATAGCAGCTTCATTCATAAGAGCCAGAATCTGGAAACAAAATAGATATCTCTAGCTGAGGAATGGATACAGAAATTGTGGTACATTTGCACAATGAAATAATACTCAGCAATTAAAAACAAGGAAATTCTACCTTTATATTACATGGTACTATGGATCAAAACACAAAGGTAAATTTTATTATTTATTTATGTAATTATTTTTGAAACATGGTCTCCCTAGGTAGTACTAGCTGTCCTAGAGTTTTCCTAGAGACTGCTATGTAAACCGGGCTGACCTTGAAGTTAGAAAGATCTATCTACCCCTGCATCCTGAGCGCTGGCTTAAAGGGTAATATTTAAATCAGGTTCCTAGTGGCATTGAAGGTATGACTGTTGTGTCACATGTGTTTTGATAGGTAACAAAGAGGATAGAAACTATGTCTGTGCTCAGTGTTCTGAACTATGAACATCTGAATGTTCAGTAGCCTAATATTCCCTGAAAAAACAATGAGCCTTACACAACCACCAGCCTGGAGCCAGAGGGCCTAGAAAGGGAACTAGCTTGATGTGACCACTAATCTTGTGGTACACAGGCCTTGGGGGCAGACTGTGTCCAAGATAACCATTATTCCCCACACCATAATATTTGAGAGGTGAATAGCACTCCGGAGACTACTCCTGAGATGACCTCACACACTCAAGAACCAGGGACACCAATAAAACAGGCAAGTAAGCAATAGAGAAGTGGAAGAGGAAAAAGAAGAAGAAGAAGAAGAAGAAGAAGAAGAAGAAGAAGAAGAAGAA